TCTTCAATTGAGTCCCTTGTCTTGATTTCCTTTTCCATTTGCTTCTTGAATTTCCCCTTTTTGCACCTGAAAGAAAAATGAAGATGCATTAGTTAAAGAAAAGAGCGATTGTCATATTTTCATAATTTTTTATTTTATTTTTTATTTTTTTAATTAATTTTTGTGATTAATATATATATTTTTTTGTTTTTTTCTTTTTATATGAAAAGCTTAAATAAACTGAATGAAAAATTGGGTTATGACAATTATATCATAATTTTTGGATTTATCACATTATTACGAATGTGTACTACTTATATAATTCCTCATGTCATAATCATAAATTAAAAGATAAGTATATAAGTACCACCTGCAACATTTAATATGACCATTTGTATATTCTAAACTTGCAAGTCATAATAATTTAGTTAATGTTACTACAAACCATTCAATTCCAACTGACATATACACTCATGTCCTAACAAGTTCAAATCGTCCATCCAAAAAATAAAAGTATTTTCCTTAAGTAGCAAGAACATGCCATGTTTTGAGTTCACAACCTCATGCACACTGATTATTCGGGCCCAAAAGGACCTTGGTAATCTGTATCAAATCTCGGCTGATAACCAAACTCATCTTGCGGGGGATTGGGTGAAGATGTATTTGGAGCTTCTGACTGTCTCCCCATTTGGCCCATTGGGAATGCAGGTTCTATCGGGAGTTGCATTGGCATTGCATGAGGAAATGATGGCCCACTAGCATGAAACGATGGCCCAACAGTAGGGAATGATGTCCTTATTGGAGGAAATGCTTGCCCTGTGTGAGGCAACGATGGGGTAGCACTAGGCAGGCGCATCCCGTACGCACTAAAAGCAGTGAATTGCTGCGATAGAGAAGCCTGCATCCTCCCAATTTCTTCCATCATCCGTTGCATTGCTTCTCGTTGCTCTTTGACTTGCCCTATTTCATCTCGCATCATTTGCATTGCCTCCCTATCTTTCGCTTGTTTTTCGGCCATGTCTGATAACATCAAGCTCATATATGAATTCCCCTTTGGTTGTCGCTTTCTATATGTAAACCCAAGTTCCTCTGGGTTTACATGTGAACCAATTCCCGGCATGAAATTGCTATGGCATCCACCAACAACAACTGCCCAAGCGTCATTGTCCCGTGGCGGCCATGATGCTGAGTCCGAGCCATAAGTAGCAGAGCACTCACTGACATACGTATCCTACAAAAGTAATGCAAAAAAAACCTACAATATATAACTGCAAATTTTTGCCACAGTAAACACATAACAATGCCGAAAAATGTAACCATTATTATTTACGAACAAGTGAGAACAAAGTAGCAATCATGGAGCGACAATCAATACCCAAGCACAATTGTTTCACGAACACCTACACATACTAATACTTACTCATGCAAAATTTTTGTTATATTGTACTTAACACCACTAACTTTATTAATATACCTTTTATTCACTTTTTCCAACAATCTATGTCATTCATAGAAAACTTTTTATCCAGTATGTTCGCACTTACATGACGATCCTTATGTTTGTCGCCACATCATGGAGCTTCCTGCCCTTGGGGGACACCTTTTCGCAAAGTGTGTGTTTCCTTATATAGGTCTTGGTGTGCTGGCCTTATCCCCCCAGCAGCTTTGGTCTATGTGTTACAACCACATTACGACAAATAGCAAGTTATTTATATTTATAGTTAATCGATAATCATACAAAAAAGTAGTATATATTGTGTTCATTATCTATTATATATATATACACTTTTCTTTCTTTTCTTACTTACCATCCGTTCTTCATGTACATCAAAACTCACTGATCCTGTAGTGTCTGAAACTCGTTCCCCAGATGCTCGGTTTTTCTTCCCCCTCTCGCTAAGAATGTGAAACTCATCAGAATCCCAATAAGTGCATAATGTAAGCCATAGGTGCTCGGGCACCCATACTGGCCTATACTCACCATTTGTACGCCACTTATCCCGCTCATCCTTCATATTATCGCCCCATCCTTTCTTCATTGATCTTAAGAACGCCTTTCGAATCGCATCCTCATCCTCTACAGGCCATTGATAATGTGTCTGTCACCACATACAAATAAATTATTTCCAAGTAACTTAATAACATATAGTATAATAACACAATATATACACCATATCTCATTTTTTCGTATATAGTTAATCACTATTCTATCCATACGAAAGAGCTAATCGAAACAAATCAAAACTTTTAATACTTTATTGATAAACTCAGAATTATAAGGATTTTTGTGTCATATGATGACTGTTGTGATACCATATTGTTTTACCAATGTCATATGATGATTTTTTTTTATTCATTTTTTTCTTGTTTTTAAGGTGTATGCAGTACTCATACCATTAAATTACTTGTATCGACCAATGCACCAACAATATTGATTTTTGCTTCATCATATATGTTGTTATGTTATCAATAATCATACAGTACATATCTGATGAAAGGATTATGTATGAAATGGTAATTATTCTTACCTTAAACAACTCCCACACTTGCACCCTTTTGTGTTCTGGGAACAACTCATACGTGAAGTAATCACCATCATAAACCCTCTTCCATAGGGTCGTAATCAATCTGGGGACTTCAACATCCAAGAATGTACTTTTATGCGAAATTTGTATAAATGGTCTCTCATCTGGTCTTCTTGCAGCCTTTTTCGATTTGTTTGGACCTCTTCCCTTCTGCTTCTGGCTAGAGGATGCGGCTGCTACATGAATAGAACCCTGTGGACTAATAGACTGAGTATGCCCCGCGTTCATTACTGGGGTAACATCACGTGCAAGATCTACAGCGTCGTGACGTCCTCGTCTCCCTGATGTGGTGCGACTCCGTGCGGAGTTAATGGGCCTGCCTGACATCCTGCAAAACATATGGTCACATAAAGAAGGTAAGTACTAATGTCACCAAATAAATACATGTCCAGTTTTTAAATTTTCTTTTTATAAGCATTTACAATAGCATAAATAATGTCAATGAAACAAACAATGAAGAAACAGTCATTAGTCATTCATAAGTATATTTGTTAATTAGGAAGTCTCATACATAAGATTTTTTTTATTTTTTTAATGACAACCAAATTTTAAAACTATTGCTTTACATGACTTTCAATTATTTAATGACTATTCAGTCTCGCTACTATCGCCACCAGCATCGCTTCTTGTTTCATATCCATCATTTCCTTCACTCACATTTTCATCAACATCATCATTTCCATTTCCATTTAAGTCAACCATTGTTGCTCCTTCTGCATGCAAATCCACACATTCTGTGGATGCCAAATTGGAATTATGCTCTAATGATTGTGTGGATGGTGGCTCCTCATCCTGGAATATTTCTTCTATATCAAGTGAAGTTGAACAAGTGTCAATCAAATGTCTAGCACGTATTTTGCATGCGGCGAACCATCCGTTAGTTGCTCGATTATCTGATGGGTAACTAATGTAATATACTTGCGTTGATTGACACGCAAGGCAAAATGGCTCGCCGGTCGACAGTCGATACTGTGGGTTGACCTCAACAATATTGTAAACTTGGTTAATGCGTGTTCCCCTACGTGTATCGAACCAATCACAATTGAATAAGACAATTGTCTATATTTGTGCTTGTGGTCCATAATACAATAGTTCGATGACTTCGTTAAGGATGCCATAATAATCAATCTCGGCATTATCAGATATGGTAGTTCCTTTCACACATACAACACAGTTATATGTTTGTCTTTCACCACTGACTTTTTGTGTCATAAATCTAAAACCATTGACATAATAACCTTTGTAGACATTGACTGTCCATGATGGGCCCAGTGCAAGGTATTGTAAAACCTCATTCCCTTCATGATGGCCATTTAACACCTACCAAATTTATATGTTCATGTTATTAGTCAAATTTATAATATTTTTGTTAAAAACTCAATTAGGTAATATATTGTATATTACCTAATTATATATATAGGTATATAATAATATTTGAAACAACATAACATGATGAAGAATATTGTTTACCCTATCTTTGAACCACGTAACAAAACTTCTGTTGCGTGCTTTCTGTGGATCAGAAGGGGTCATATATACTCCAACTTCTCGATCAAAGATGCTGAAATATCGAAATAATTAGGTGTGACCACAAATGGAATGTTGAACTAGCTTGCTATAATCCAGCAAGCTTTCCCTAAAAATTTAATAAAAAAGAGTTTAGTTTGTCATATCTCACCTAAGAAGCGCATCAACTTCCCTACAGTTTAGTAGAACATAAAGTTCAGCCGCCTTCATCTCTTGAGCAGTTAGACAGCGTGTCTATGAATGTGAACCCATTAGATGACCAGGGTATGCAAATATTGAGAATTCTGTGTTCCTATAAAGTGGAACTGCTGCAAAGTTCCTTGGGGGCTTACTCCAACTTGTTTCAACATCCACACCAAAATATCGAGAGCAAAAATCTGTTATTTCATTGAGAATGTATGCTTCGACAATGGATGCCTCAACATGATTCTTGTTCCCTATTGTTTGTTTAAGTTTGTGCATTTATCTGTAAAATTTAAAATACGCTATGAGCATAACAAATTGTTATATATTCTGTTGTACATGAAATTATTGTGAACTTGTTTGCATTACCGTTCAAATGGGTACATCCATCGAAATTGTACAGGCCCACCAATCCGCGCCTCGAAAGGAAGATGGATTGCTAGGTGCTGCATACAATCAAAAAATGATGGCGGGAAGATTCTTTCCAACTTACATATTATTTCAACTATTTTTGTTTCCCAAACTACCATGTCTTTTATGTTGACATTTGGGGAACACAATGCACGGAAAAAATTACTTACTTCTGTTAATGGACCCCATATAGAATCTGGCAACAAGCCACGGAAAGCAATTGGAATGAGGCGCTGCATGAATATGTGGCAATCGTGACTCTTCAATCCAACTAAGCGTAACTCAGCTAAGTTCACACAATGTGCGATGTTAGATGCAAAACCATCTGGAAATCGCACATGTTTGAGCCATGTACATAGACATCTTTTTTTATCCGTGTTAAGTGCATAACTTGCATTTGGCTTGCAAAGTGACTAAGAACGGTCATAGTACAAGTGTAGTTCTTCCCTATCACAGTACAATGGTAAGTCCATTCTTGACTTAACATTATCTTTTGAGGACGAGTCATCCATGACTGTGTGTATGATGTTGTCAAAGAAATTCTTCTCACAGTGCATGACATCAAGATTGTGTCTGATCAGGTTATCCTCCCAGTATGGGAGTTCCCAGAAGATACTCCGTTTCACCCAATTGTGTGTTTCATCGAACCCTAAAATAGTTTGGTTTACTGATGGATTTCCAAATAAAACATCAGGTAGTGTGGCCACTTGAAGTCGAACAGAATGACCATCTAATCGTGGAGGAGGGGGGCCAAATTCAAAGCGGCCCTTAAGGAAATGAGTTGTATCCATTTTGTACGAGTGTGATGCAGGAAGAAACTGTCGATGACAGTCAAAGAATGAGATCTTGCGACCATTTTGCAAGTAAAAAGCACGAGTCATTTCCATGCAATATGGACAAGACTGACGGCCATGCGTGCTCCATCCAGAAACCATACCATAGCTGAGGAAATCCGTTATGGTCCACATAAGCATGGCTCGCATTGTGAAGTTCTGTTTACGGAAGCTGTCAAATGTTTCTACCCCTGACGACCATAACTATTTCAGATCATCAATAAGTGGACGGAGGAAAACATCAATGTTTTTTCTTGGACTCTTTGGCCCAAAAATAACAAGTGTCAGGAATGTAAATTCAGGTCGCATGCACATTTCAGGAGGAAGATTGTAAACAACAATGAAAACAGGCCAACAGGAATATGACCTTGAAGAGTGACCCCATGGGTTAAACCCGTCTGTTGCAAGACCAACCCGTACATTTCGCGGATCAGCTGCAAATGAAGGATGAACAGCATCAAAGTGCTTCCAAGCATTAGACTGAGCTGGATGAATGAGGATCTCTGAGTCAACACAACATTTAAGGTGCCATGTCATATGCTCAGCAGTTTTACGAGACATGTACAGCCTCTGTAGGCGTGGAATAATGGGTAGATACCACGAAGAATTCCTCGGCCTATCCTTTTTTCCAGTTTGAGCCGAGTTGCGTCTTTTATACCTAGGTTCACCACAAACTGGACAAGCAGTAAGTGACTTAGCCTCATCACCATAATACAGAAAGCAGTTGTTAACACATGCATCAATTTTGACATAGCCTAAACCTAGGCTTTTCATGAATTTCTTTGCTTCATAAAAATTTGACGGTACTTTTTGCTGATCTTCCGGACTTAACAATTTTCTACAGCCATGAATGATCTCATTGTAACCAACACCACTTATGTTGTTTTTGGCTTTGGTATGCAGCATATATGATAACCAACCAAGCAATGTCTGGTTATTAGATGCTGGTCCAAGCGGGATGGTTGAAGCACGCAACAAGTCATAAAAAGATTGTGCATTATTATTTGGCGCATCTCCAACATTTTCAGATGCAAACTCTATTTCATTTCTATGGCGATCATTCTCAGATGGACAAAATGCATCATAAACCATGTGATGGAAATCATCCTCAGCATTACCATGTTCCTCAATATTACTTGAGGATGCCACATCACTTGCGGCAAACCATGGATCAACATTGTTACTTAAAGTTTCACCATGTGCCCACCACACAGAATATGCATCCATGAAACCATATCTCAAGAGATGGTCTGTTACAACTGCCCTATTGTGGTGAGGTAAATTTCCACATTTACTACAGGGGCAGCGAATTTCGGCATTCGGGTGGACACCGGGACGACTATATACGAAATCAAAAAATTGTTGTAATCCATTAAAGAATTCGCCATCATAATCTCCACGAGGACCTCGTCGTCTATACATCCAACAACGATCATCTGTCATCTTTAACTGAATAATACAATTAATATTTTAAGTAAATTAAATCATTATTAAAGTAATAATAGTAAGGTTAAATACCCTTTTTGGTCCCTCTACTATAGCAAAAAGCCCCTCTTTAGTCCCTATACCGAAAAAATCCCTTTTTTGGTCCTTACTGTTTGAAATCCGGCCCCTTTTTAGTCTCTCCTTTAAATTTTTGCTAATGTGGCAGGTTAACTAACGGAATCATTTGATTATTTTTTATACAAATAATATTATAAATGAGGTGGAAATTATGTGGATGCCACCTGTACAAACCAGAATGACGTGGAAATTATTGAGCCATGTAAGCTTGTTTCTGGCTTTGTAATTCAACCTCTTCCAAACCAGAATAACATGGCCTAGTAAAAATGAAAGTGTTGGCCGGAAAGTGCAGGCGGCGAGTGCCCCTAGCACTCCTCAATTAAAAATTTTACATTTTAATTCATGAATTAAATGAATTTAAATAGGATTAATTTTAATTTCTTCACCTTCTTCTTTCTCCTTATCCTTATCCTAGTCCTCATCCTCATCCTTGGCATCATCATGTCATCAGCATCCTGCTTGTCATCTTCTTCATCATCCTAGGTTACTCACAGAATCCCCTTGCTGGGTTCCATGAACCCAGTTTCTAGGTTGCTTGCAGAACCCTCTTGCTGGGTTCCTCGAACCTAATTTTCTGGGTTGCTTGCAAAACCCAAAAAAATGAGAAATTATCCTCAAATTTCTCGATGTCTCATCAAAATTGTTTTACAAATGAGATAGACCAATAATGTAGTAGAATTACCAATAATCACACACAAGATCGGGTCACATTCTTAATAAAATTGAACAAAAATCACAAAAATAAGATCTAAGCATCAAAATCTAATCTAGCAAAAAACAATGCCTCAATGTAGCAGAAACTGGGTTCCTTGAACCCAGCAAGCAAGGAACCCAAAAATCGAGTTCTGCGAACCCAGCAATGTTCCTTGAACCCAGCAAGCAAGGAACTTAGAAACTGGGTTCTGCGAACCCAACAACTGGGTTCCTCACGGAACCCAGATTTGGGTTTCGCGAACCCAGCTGCTGGGTTCTTCGCGGAACCCAGATCTGGGTTTTGCGGACCAAGCATCACGAAATCCAAATTTGGGTTCCACTAACCCAGCAACTGGGTTTTGTGAACCCAACAAAAGGGTTCCGTGAAGAACCCAAACTAGGTTCACCAACCTGCAAAGAGCCTAGCAGCTGGTGAGGATGAGTATGATGCCAAGGATGAGGAGAAAGAAGGTCAGCGTAAT